TAGCATGGAGTATATTTGCTTTTAGTATCAATGAAATGTCTCTGAATGTATACCATCTTCTGCTATATCTCAATGGACAACTACTCGTTTCATATGATAGAACTGATAATATTAGTGAAATTATAAATAATTCAATGATCCAAAGACAATGTTAACTGAATTTTGTAATGAACACAATAAACGACACCGCTAAAAGTTTAAATTTATTATATAGAAAATTCTTGAATATTTTGTGTGGTCAATAACGGATAAAATGTGGACAATTCGTATGCTTGGACATGCTATTGAACGTGTCGTGACTTGTCATTCCACTGAAGGAGAAAGATATCACCTTATATTATTTTTAATGAACATAAGAGGATCAAAATCATATCAAGATTCACAAACGGTAAATGGCAAGCCTTGCACAACATTTAAAAGAGGTAGCTATGAGAATTGCTACTTTTATATAATAATTTAATAGAATGCATCTACGAAGCATCAAATTTATGAAATGTCAATAAGTCTTTATACATTTGTTTTCTTTATTAATGATCTATTGTATCCCAAGTAATACAAATGAATTATGGGAAAATTTGAAATATCCTTATCAGAGGATTTTACGAGAATTTCATACATTAGTACAAACGAAATTTGTTATAACATGTTAGAGTATATTAATGATATTTTTCAATTAGTTTGTCGTGATATCAATGAATTTAAACTAATTCCTGAAATAATTAAAGCATCTACACTAGCAAAGAAGCTAAAAATGTTTACTTTGAAAGAAATATTACAGTTAGTGAAGATGATTTGCTCCTACAAAATAAATTAAACATTGAACAAAGAAGGACTTACAAAGTAATCCTAGATAGAATATTTCAAATAAACCGATGTATTCTTTATACATGGTCCTGGAGGAACTGGTAAAAGTTTTTTATATCACGCTTTATTAACAACTACAAGATACAAATGATTAATAGCTTTAGAAACTGCAAAATTCAAATGTGACAACTTCACTCCTTCCAGGCGGTTGAACTGCTCATTTCTATTTTAAATTTTCAGTCAATATCCATGAAAAATTCAGTTGTAACGTCAGATAAAGTTCTCTGAAATCTTTAACTTTTGATGCAAAACTTATAATATGGGATGAAATTTCAATAGCAAAAAAATAGTTGAAGCTTTTGACTTACTTTTGCAAGATCTAATGCAAACATGAATTCTATTCGAAGAAAAAATTATCGTTTTCAATGGTGATTTCAGGAAAATTCATCCCTTTGTTCGTAGTAAAAGAAGAGAAGGATTTATTAGTGAAAGTTTGTTATGCTCTTAAATTTAGAACCAGCATGAAAAACTACAACTACTAGAAAACATGTGTGCAAAGACAGATGCAACCTTTTGTGAATACTTAGTGAGAATATGGAATCAAAAGGAAAATCACTAAAGACAATTATGAAATTCCCCATTCTCTAATCCTTCCATTCATTAAGGAAAAAGATTTTTTTTACCTATTCGAATTTGTGCACCTCTTACTCATTCCATAGATTCGATTACTACACAACCATTTGTAGTCACAACCCTAACACAAAAGAAGTTAGCTACTCATAATTGGTTCTCAATATTTGAATAATACGAGAATTCAAAAGATGAAAAAGAGTAGGAATGTTGGAAGAGAGAGTCGTCCAAGTCTTTTTCTCCAAAAATCAGAAGAAAAAAAAGAATTTATTTATAACCAGAATAGTACCCCTCAAACCTGGCTCTGATACCAATTGTCACGATCTGACCTGAATATAGGAAATATAATTCAACGAGATGTAACAGAACGATTCTCTTTTTGGAACAATTTTCAATTTTCATTCAAATGAAATTATACAGAAATGAAAGGAAATAAAAGAAACTAGAAACTAAGACGGTAAACCTCCATGGACAGAGCTCCAATCTTGCAACAGAATGTTTAGATTAGAAAGATGAAGAAAAGAGAAGAGAATCTAATAGAAGAGAGAGAAGAGAGCACGAGAATAATACCAATTTGATCAATGTCTCTTCTCTCTCTTGGTTGTTGCTTTTTAACTATGACTTGAGCTGATGTGAATGTTACCGCCGTGGCGCAATCCTAGCCTTTGTGCTTCATTTATTAACTTCTAATCATGACCGCTACTCTTGATAACTGAATATGAGATTAGCTAATCATGACAATACTCAAACCTGGAGCAGTACCAGTAAGCTTGCGGCCTTATAGGTATAACTATTATCAAAAAGAGGAGTTGGAAAGACAGGTCAAGGAAATGATGAATCATGGTAATATTCAACAGAGTTAATCTCCTTTTTCTTCCCCGGCTTTACTAGTGAAGAAGAAGGACAACTCATGGAGATTTTGTGTGGACTACAGAGGGTTGAATAAGATTACTATTAAGGATAAATATCCTATTCCAATTTTTGATAACCTGCTGGATGAACTGCATGGATCCATGATCTTTACAAAGGTGGATCTCAGGGCTGGATACCATCAGATTAGGATGAAAGTGGAAGATGTGTATAAAACTGCTTTTAGAACTCACACGGGCCATTATGAGTTCAAGGTCATGCCATTTGGACTGACCAATGCATCGGCAACTTTCCAAGCACTAATGAATCACGTTTTTCAACCTTTTCTCAGAAAATTTGTCTTGTTTTTTCTTGACGACATTCTAGTGTACAGTTTGTCTCTTGAAAACCATATTCATCATCTTATTGTTGTGTTCACTACTCTTAGAGAACATTCACTATTTGCAAAAAGGTCGAAGTGTTCCTTTGGTCAACCTAAAGTAGAATATTTGGGTCATGTTATAACCAAGGATGGGGTATCTACAGACCCTACTAAAATAGATGCTATGCTCCCAACTCCGTTAGAGCTCTTAGAGGATTCTTGGGGCTAACAGGTTACTACAGGAAATATGTGGCAAGATATAGTACCATATGTAGACCCTTGACAGACTCATTAAAGAAAGATTCGTTTAAGTGGAATGCAGAGGCTGATGAAGCCTTTGTTGCTCTGAAGAACGGCTATTGCAACCACACCTGTACTAGCATTTCCTGATTATTCAAAGGAATTCGTTGTTGAAACTGATGCAAGTCACTGTGGTATAGGGTCCGTTCTGATGTTAGATACAGACCCATTGCCTATCTCAGCAAGGTACTGGCTCAACAACACAGGGGTAAATCTATCTACGAGAAGGAGTACATGGCTCTATTGAATGCAATCGACAGATGTAGACATTATTTACAGTTTAAGCATTTTGTAGTCCGGACTAATCATTATAATTTGAAATACCTTTTAGAGCAAAAGGTAACCTCAGCATTGCAACAAAAGGGTCTTACTAAACTTTTGGGGTTAGACTATGAAGTTCAATAAAAAAAGGGTGCAGAAAATAGAGTTGCTGATGCATTTTCTAGACAACATGAGATATGTAAGGACGATTCTGACCAAGTCACCGGGAAATTATTGACAATCAGTGTCACAGTTCCTAGGTGGATGCAGGAGGTAGGATATAGTTATGTAGATGATGACCTTGCTCAAGAGTTCATGGTGCAGCTTGCGGTGGACTCAAATGGTCCTACTATTTGGCAATTCACTTCTGGTGTTCTAAGAAATAAAAGGAAGATTTATGTAGGTGGTACTGGAGATTTAAGGCAAAGGTTGATTTCTACATTCCATGATTCTCCGATGGGTGGTCACTTTGGGCAGTTGGAACTCTAAAGAGGTTGCCTTCACTGTTTTATTGGCCCAACATGAAACAAATGGTGGTGCATTGTGATGTATGACATAGGATTAAGTATTATAATGTCTCATACCCAGGGCTACTGCAATTTCTACCAATTCCTAATCAGACATGGAGTCATATCAGCATGGATTTTATAGAAGCATTGCTGAAATCCAGCTCGAAAGATGTGATATTAGTTGTAGTGGATAGGCTATCAAAGTATGCTCATTTTGTTGCCTTGTCCCATCCGTTTACTGCAGCCACTGTAGCAAACAAGTTTTGGAAGAAGGTACACTGCTTACATGGTACTCCCGAGTCCATTGTATCTGATAGGGACAAAAGATTCTCAGCAACTTTTGGCAATCCTTATTCAAACTATTGGGTACTCAACTACACTTTAGCACTGCTTATCACCCTCAAAGTGATGGTCAGACTAAGAGAGTTAATAGGTGCATTGAGAACTATATGTTGTGCATGACATCGAACAAACCTATTCATTGGAGACAATGGCTTCCTTTTGCTGAATGGTGGTACAACACGAATTTTCACACTGGACTGCAGAGTACTCCATTTTAGGCTCTTTATGGTTATTCACCACCCCAACTATCTGTTACTCCTGCTGTTGAAGATGTTGTTATGTAGCGACAACAAATGTTACAACTTTTGAAGGACAACCTCCATAAGGCTCAAGAAAGAATGAAGGTGTATTCCATAAAAAGCAATTAGATAGAGTGTTGCTGTTGGGTGACATGGTTTACCTTAAACTTCAACATACATTCCGCACAACAACATCTTTGTCCTCAAGGATTGAAAATAAAATCTGGAAATTGTGCTTGTATGAACTCGTAATCCTTCCAAGTAGCATCTTCAGGAGGCAAGTTAGACCATTCAATGAGCAATTTCACCTTGGCCCTATTGTAATGCTTCACCATTTGTCTCTGAAGGACAGCAACTGTATTCACCAAGAATCGACCGTCTGCACCACTAGCAGGTAGAACAGTTTGAGCTACCCTAAATCTCCTATCTTCTTCTTCTCAAGAGTAACGGTCAGGATTAGAAGTTAATAAATGAAGCGCAAAGGTTAGGATTGTGCCACGTCAGTAACATCCACATCAGCTCAAGTCACAGTTAAAAAGCAACGACCAAGAGAGAGAAGAGGCATTGATCAAATTGGTATTATTCTCGTTCTCTCTTCTCTCTCTTCTATCAGATTCTCTTCTCTTTTCTTCATATTCCTAATCTAAACATTTTGTTGCAGGATCGGAGCTATGTCTATGGAGGTTTACTATCTTAGTTTCTAGTTTCTTTTATTTCCTTTCATTTATGTACGATTTCATTTGAATGAAAACAGAAAATTGTTCTAAAAAAAGAATCGTTCAGTCGTAGTAACATTTCGTTGAATTATATTTCCTATATTGAGGTTAGATCGTGACAGATTGTGGGAAGTGTCTGGTGAGTTTTCTATATATGGATTACTGAATTAATAACTTTTCACAAAGTTTAGTCTCTTTGACTATTTCATTCTTGGGAATGAATCACCACTGCCGAAATTTACACAGCGAGACCAATATAAAATTTCTTTGAACCTGTTCTCCGCCCTTTCGATAATTTTCATCCGCAATTATGATTGGTTATGTTAAATTTTGGGTCTTTTTGTTTATCTGAGCATTTTTTTAAGTCTTTGTTGTGTGTGTGTCAAATTTCTATTTTGCTATCTTGAATTGAAGTGTTACTTGGATGAATATTATAAAACTATTTTGTATTTTTTTGAATGTGCCTAATTGGGGTTATGAACTGGTCGATTAAGAAATTATTTGCTCAAGTGTATATATGTTTGTGATTGTTTAAGTCTTCTTTTTATCTTTTGGGTATTAGTAAATTCTATTTTTTTGTCATCAAAATTAGTGATAAATGGATCAGTACTGTAAATGATTATTGAATGCATTGAGCTTTTTTCTTCTAGTTCATAGTTAGGCTAATTGGTAACTGGCGTCCTAAATTGTAATGACTTGATAATTTTGGTTTACTTTAAGGGAGAGATGATTGAGAGATTGGATCTTGTTTGGGAGTTAGATATATTAGATTGATGATTGTATTCGGTGAACACAATACATATTTCAAATTTTTCCGCCATTAATTGAAACTGTCTCTATGTCTTATCAATTTTAGAACAGTTCTCTGACAATCTCTAACTCCATAGTGATTTAGGATAAACTAGATTTTCTCTATTAGTACTTATCTTTTAACCCTTGTTTATGGGTCATAAACAAATTTTTTACCTCGAGGTACAGGTAAGGTATATCTACATTCTATCCTCCCAAGCACTACTTCGCGAGCTTATATTGAGTATGTTGTTGTTGAAGTCAATTATAATTAAGCATTCTGTTAATTTGTGAATTCTTCCAGGAAAACAACATGAGCTAAAACACAAATAGAAAACCAAAATGGGCATCCTAAATGCATGGCCCAGAGGTTCATGGAGCAACTAGTGCTTGGTGACTGTTGTTTATATTCTCTTATTCTTGAAAGTATTTAGAAAAGTTACTGTGTTCCATGCCAATTGTGTTTGTGTGTAGATTCTCTAATTGGTGAGGTTGAATGAATTGGTGTAGATATACATTATTTATAGGAGTATTTGATTGGGGAGTAAGTGGATTCCTCATCTCTTTTCACTAGCATTGGGGTCTTTGCTAATTCACATCAAGGCTAGAACAAATGGAAAAAAAATATTTTAGTATTTTTGTCTCAATTGAGATTTAAAGTTGAGATCTCATTGCACTTAACCAACTTCATTGACCACTAGGCGACACACTAGAGTGCTTGTTGTTTAGACTTCTTAAGTAGTCAGAATGAGGACAGGGGATACTACTCTTTTTTTCGTTCTTGTTCAAGTATGAATTCTTTGAATAAAGTCAAAGTATATGTGATTCTGGATTAAAAATAAATAGTAGCATCTTATTGTTGATTCATTTTTTGCCACTGAATATGGGTATATTGTGGTAATTGGAACTTACTAGTAGTGTGCAAGTTTCTTCATTTCTAGAATTTAGGGGAAATGTTTGTGAGAGGGGTCTTATTTAGAGACAAGGTTAGATAAAAAGTTATGGATTTGTCCGAACCCAACACCTTTTGTCAAAATCTTATATTTATGTCACGAAATTCACTATATATGTATTTAATTTATAAAAAAAACCTGTGTAAGCTAACATTTGTTAGAATGCAGAATCCATAAACTCAAATTTCTGACTTCACCTTTGGTTTTATTCATCAAAATGTTCCTTAATGTGTTCATTATTCTATGTATGTAACTTGATATTATCAACTTAATTAAAAATTTAACTGCAACTTTTATTGATTAATTATTATGGCTTCAAAGAGCATCTTTTCTCTTCCATCTCAAAAAAAAATCTTCTTACAGAATACTAGTATATTGTTCTATTATGTCAGTGGAGCTTGTAAAACACCTTGTTGCTAATTTAATTGCAGAAATTTTTTTCTTGTCAAACTCTGAACGGAAGCAAATGAAGCTGCAATTAAATTTGCAAAAAAAGTTTTAGAGATTCTCTCATTCCGATGAGAAGCAACCTCATGTGGAGTTTATTTTGTTCTCCAACTTCTTTGATGGAAGGACCGTGGATGTTGTTGCTTTGACAAGCAAAGAACATTATAGGTCACCTTTTGAATCGGTAATACAAGAGTCACTTACTCCAATGTTCAAGCAGAAAATAAGAAATTCAGAGTTGTAAAATAGCTATTGCATTGGTTGAACCAATCCAAGGTGAAGGTGGCATATGTAGTAGAACAAAAGATCTCTTACAAGTACTGAAGACTTTTTATGATACTGCAAATTCTTTTATTGTTTCAGATGAGGTAAGAAACTTTATACATTACAGTACTACCACTTCAGCATATTAAGCTTATGTCTCATCTGACAAAGATGAATGACTTATGTTGGAGTAAACACATAAACATAGTTACCTGATAATTATTTTTTACACAAGCATAGTTGTTAAAAGTTTTTTTACATAGACATACAATGAGTCAATAGCGTGTCTCTGTATAGTAGTAGTAATACATTATATTATTTCATGAGGTAATTTTTCTAGGATTTATCAAAAGTGTTGAAGGTCATTGTGAGGGAGAATGGAGTTTTACCTGCCACTATCGCTATTCTGGATGATTTATCATGTATAGGTGTTTATTTGAGACTTCATTTCTTCTTTTTTTCTGCATCCCATTCTTTTCTCATTTCTTTGTTTGAGGTACTTTGCACGGAAGTGGGGTTGATTTCTTGGATTCTTGAGTTCATCACACCTCTCTTAAGCTTAATGTTTCCAAAGAATTCATGACACGCTGATTATGCTCTGTTATGATTATTCTGCAATAAGCATCAACTCCTTTGTTCCTGTCTTGTTAGTATGCATCTCAATTATTACTTAATAGAGACCAAGTTTTGAACATGTTATCCGCTCATATATTTACTTTATACTTGTGCTAACTTTTGACTTTTGGCAGCTCAATTATATTGATGAGTTCGTTAACTCTTTCATTTATATCTTCCTCATATGAAAGAAATGGAACTTTTAACATATACACTGTCACAGTTATATGCCTGAATGTTGATGCATATTTGATAAGTATATGACAGATGTATAAAAGTTTTGACCTTGTCAATTTACTTGACAGTTTAAGTGAGTGATCAATGTGAATATGATAAATAAAGTGAGATTTTTGTGTACTGGAATGTGAATATGAGAAATTTGTTGCGGAAAGTAACCTTTTTGAGAGCATCTATACTTCTCTGATGAGAATCATTTACATCTTGTACTTAATGAATTTTAGAAATATCATGTTCTGCAGCACTTCAAATCTATGATAAATTATTTGTTAAACTTACATTTCACGAGGAATTGTGAGAAATGAGAGCACGGGTCCAGAATATTGCAATCATTGCTACAAAAGTCTGTAAACTTGTGAAGTGATAAAACCTAAAATACTTGCATGACCTTAGGTTATTTCTTAGTTGTCATACTAGGTTATCTTTCTTTTAACTAGGGAATCATATTAGCATGTAAAAAATTTTAACCATGTATTATATTCTCTCTCTATGGTAGGCTTGACTACTGAAGAACTAAAGATTCTAGCACGTCTTGGTAACAAAGCTCGGAAACTTGCTAGAGAGACATTGCACTTGTTGTAAGTCAATTGCACATTACGCTACTTTATTTGAGCAACTCTACCTTGTTTGCCCTCATCATATTTGTCAAAAATATTTGTAATTTTGACTGCTGAAACTTAAATTCCACTAGCTATATATGCATATATGTATATGAGCATATCCTGAGATGTGACACGTAAAAGCTTCATAGTCCCAGAGAAAATAGCTTGCCACAACGGTCTTTGAGTAATTTTAAGTATGGTGAAATATTTTATAGTGTATTATTTATTATGTGATTCCTTCTGCTTTTTAAATTTATAATAATTTACTTTATCAAAATATAATTAAATTTATCATTTATTTGCAGGATAAACATGTACAATTTAACTTTGCTACAACACAAGTTGTATTAGAAGAATTTTTTTTTCTTTGGAAGGATTAGAAAATAATGACCTTGCTTATATTTTTTTTACAAGTAATGACCTATGTAGTAAGTCTCTAATGCATCAATCTTATGTGTTGGACCTTTGCAAATTTATATATTTTTTTTAAAAAAATTGTTTATTGTATATGTAGCAATTATCATAAATTGTTGTTAAAGGTGTATTATTTTTTTTTTATTTATTGCAATAAAAAACTTTGTTGCCAAAAACTTTTCTGAAAGATTACTAATCAACATTTGCCACGTTTTTGCAACAATAAATATTGTTGGTAAAAAGATTAATTTATGGCAACAGTAGATTTGTTGTGAAAGTGTTTATAAGTCACAACTATATGCATGTAAGGCAATAATTTTCTTAGTTGCGTTAAGTTAGTTTGTGGCAATAATATATTTTGTTGTTGCAAAAAATTTTCGCATCAACGTTTATTGCAACATGCAACAACTTCTTTGTTGTTGTCAGAAGTACTTTTAGCAACAATAACCATTATATGGTAATAAAAAAATTCGTTGGGGAATGAATTTTTTCTTATAGTAAAATCCTAACTCTGCGACACAACCCTTATGTGGAGTTGGGTTCTATCTTATCAACTCTGTCTTTACTCTTTCGAGGCTTGTGTATTTTGATTTTATGCGGCCCTTTCACATCAAATTCATTTTTGGTCATTTCTTTGCTCATTGGGTGCCTTCCAAACACCTTATCACATGGGTTAGTTCAAATGTGTACACAAGACTCAAACCTTATCGACATAATGGGGTTTTGCTCTCAAACTTAGCTAAAGTATGAGTTTCATTTGGTATTTAGACATATAATATGCCTAAAATCATGACACTTTAAGAATTATCCATGGAGTTATCTTGAATGTGTAGGCTTAAATTTTTAAATACATAATATGAAATTTGAAGTTCCCATAACGGGTCCTAAAAGTTGTTTTGGAATATCATCTTCTCTAACTTTGAGTTGGTGATAGCAAGATCAGCGGTTTTTGTTAGAGAAACAAGTGACACCTTAAAGTTGATCATACAAGTTCTTGATTTTAGGTAGGAAATACTCATTTTTCATGGGTGACTTTATTCAACTGGTGATTATCAATACACATTCTACGAATATCATTTTCTTCTTCTTTTTTACACTAGTAGGTTTGGAGCACTCCAAGAGGAATATTTTTTATAGTTGAATATATATGGGCTGAGTATCAGGAAAGTTATTTATTATAAATTATTTTACCTATCAGGAGAGACTCAATTCCTCATGAAATATTTTTGAAAACTCATTCATAACTCGACCAATTGAAGAGGTGGTGTCTCAAGACTACAGTCTCTATCTCTAATTAAGTGATAGATACAACCCTAAAAATCACCTTTACAGCCTTTAAGGTATGATATGAAACAACAACCATTTTACAACTTTTTCACACTAAAACAGGATCATGTGGAAACTGAAGTCAACATCCGGATCAAATAGAGCATAACCATCTAACATAAGACTTTTAGGGGTCGTTCGGTGTGAAGGATAATACCAAATAGTTCCGAAACTAAATCATAGTACAATTTAATTTGTTGTTTGATTTGTAAGTTCGGGATAACTTATTCCAGGATTAATAATTAGTACTGGGATAAATTATTCCCCCTTGAGTGGTATAGTAATCTCGAGATAATTTATCCCGAAATAAAATAAGTAAATGACAAAAATGTCTCTTTCAACCTTTTGTTACATCACCTTTTACATTCATGAAGAGCATTTTTGTAAACAAATAAATTATTCTTAAAATTTATTATTTTAAACAAGTCAAACACTTAATAAAAAATAATCTAATCATAACTTGTCCCATCATAATTTATCCCATCACAATTAATTCCATCATGAACTTGAATTCAAACCAAACGACCCTTCAGGTATACTAGTAACAACATTTGGAGAGCTTTCTCTATCCTGACGACTAGACATAGCACACATACGGTTTTGACCTCCACATATTCTTGATGTATGCCTTTATAGGCAACCCTACCTGCGGGAGTTGTTGAAAGAGATAGAGCTTTGTTTTTCCATTACCTTATCTCATCGATGAACATTATCTCAGAAAGTGATCCAACTGACTTCACTTATAACATCAACTTGTTCAATTATGACAGTCTCTTTGATACTTGCCACAAGGTGAGTTTCACGTAACTTCTAAACGTTCTTAGCATATTACTTGTGATGGTGCAGGTCCATATCACCTCTTCTAAAATGGTGACTAATTTCATTCTCAATCATTTGCTTGTTGGACTAAGAACTTGTTGACTTTGATCTTTATTCTTTTTTGTTGCTTATTTTCTTAGACACGTATCCTACATTGATTTTTAAAAAACTCTAATGTAAGTTTTCATATTAAATTATTTATGATTTTAATTTAAAATACATGTATTTAATAATTTAAAAAGACATTTTCCAATAATTAAGAGGTATATTTGTGTCGCACTGAAATAGACACCAGTAGTCAAAAAAATAGGCAGTCTTTAGTTTATTGTTTCTATGAGACATTGAAGTATTTTAATTATTCTAACTTGTACTCACACGTCCAACTATCTAAATACAATTTCTCTCTCATTATGCTTTGGGGTGAATAGTATCTCCCTCATTATATTTTTATTTCAAAAATACTCTCCAATTTTTTAAATAGACCAAAATCCCTTTCTTTTTTATGATTATTCTTAAACAAAAAAAAATAGCTCAATTTTATCTATGGAGACGGAGCAATTTACCTTTATTTTATAAAAGTTTTTTTTTTGTTTTGGGGTATGGTAAAATGGTGATGGTAGTTGAATGAAAGAAATATAATAAGATAAGATAATTTACATTTAAATTTTTTTAAAATATGTCATATTGTTATAAAACAATATAATGTGGGTGTCCATTGTACCAAGAAGTTACTACATGACCTCCTCCATTATGAAGATAAACATAATCTCCATAATCTCCAACTGTATAACCATTACTCTTGTAACCTTTCACTTTCATAACTTCTCCATTATATTTATGTTAATGTCAGGTTTATGACTAACCTTTTGTATTCTTCTATGTCACACTATAAATAGAAACATAAGACTTCATATTGTATACACTTGAAGGTTTGATGAATTCTTGGAATAATAAGAAAAACTCTCATCTCTTGTCTCCCTATTTATATTGTTATCATCTTTTATATTTCTTGTCTTGTTTTGCTTTAGTTTTACAACATGTTATCAGCACGAATGTTCTACTATTAAAGGATTGAAGCAAAGAAAATATAAAGAAGGTAAAAATATTTGTGTTTATTTTTCTCTCAAGGTAAATTACTATATAATTTATTTTATATTTTAATTTTGATTATGCATCATTAATTTTTTTACCATCTTAAAATCATATGAGTCCAACAAGTTGCTTTTACTTTTAGCAAACTCTAATTTGATCACTTATATATTTAAAAAGTAAAATTAGTTTTGTAAGTTAACAATTTGTAAAAAAAATGTTGGTTATGATTTTGTTTTATTGAGTTATGTGGCATGTACATATTGATTGGATTATTATTGTTGGTTACTTTTGCACCTCTTTATTTTTCTTTATCTAAACATTTACTTGTTGACTTATTAACATATTATTTGTACTAACAAAACTTGTTTGATAGTTATTCTAAAATAGTTAGTAAATTATAATAATTTTCATAACAATGTTGAGATTGCCTATTAAAATGTTTGAATTTATTTGAGGAAAGGATCAAAATAGTCCCTCTTCTTTGGGCTAAGGCTAAAAGTGATCCTTCAGTTTTCATATGGAGCATTAATACTCCCTCATGTTTGCAATATTAGTGCATTTTTGGTCCTTTGCCAAAATTTTAACTATTTTTTTGCATTGATTATATTTAAGTACGGATGTTAAATCATCATTTTATATTTAGTAGAAATAACAACTCTATATCAAAGAATGTGGGAAGAAAAACACTTTTTTTAGTAGAAATCGTATTGCAAGTAAAGTCGAGAAGTTCAAACGATAATTTCACATGCAATAGTACAATTTTTTTCCCTGCACAGTCATATGTTAAAATGTTCTTAGTTTAGCTGCAGTAATATTTGTAGTGAACAAAACAAGGTGTTTTTCGTATCACCTTCTCTTAGATAGAGTTATTATTTCTATTAAATATAAAAAAACGACTGGACATTCCTTATATAAAATTTGGACAAAATTAATGTTAAAAATAGGCAAAATTTTAGTTGAAGACCAAAAGTGTACCAACATTGCAAACATGGGGGACTATTAGTGCTTCATGTGAAAATTCAAGAATCACTTTGAGCCTTAACCCAAAGATGAGGGACTATTTTGAGTCTTTAATCGAATTTATTTTTAGTCCATTGACTTTTATATGGTTCTAACATGTTGTTCTAATTAATTAATTTGTTCATTTTTCTTCTATATTAAATCAAGTTCAGATTATATTTATGATTTTCAATAATTATTTTTTTGATAATTCATTTGGTTTATTAAGATATTGGTTGAGTGTAAGACGGTGAATTCAGATCTCACCTCACCAAGTGGGTAACACATCGAGTTAAAGTCTTGGTACACCATGATAATAAGAAGTTGGGGGTTCAAGTCCCATTGATTTATGACCAAGGTGTCTTTATATGGGTAAGATATTGGGTTAAAATCCTAATGCACTATAGTGATGATATGATGATGACTAACATAAAATTTTATACTTTTGACTGAAAGTTATGAAATTTACCCCATTAATTTGCTCTATTCTTTTATGTGAATGTGGTAACGGTGTATTAATATCTCTGAAAAATGATAAGTGGTTGAATGTATGAATATGAGTATGGTAAAATGTTAATGGTCATCATTGTGATAATTAAAAGGAAAAACATTATGGGTTCTAAAGATGTCAGCTCAAATGTGAAGATATATTGTCTATTGAATTGTATAAAAGGTTATTGGACACATTGTTTCTTAATATGGTTGTAACACTCCGTAGCCAAAACAGACCAAAAATTAATTTTTCAAAAAAAATTGCAGGTGCTACCAGCGGTGGCATCGACGGACCGTAGCCTAAACCACGGTCCGTCCTGCACAACCATCGATGGGATCAGAAACTTCCAAAAATTTCAGCCCAGAAAAATTGGTTTAAGTCTTGGACGACGGACGGACTTACGGTCCGTATGTCAAACGACAATCCGTAGTATGTGACCGTCAATCAAGACTCCCTTCAACCACTCTCTGACAAGAGTTATGGATGACCAACACGGCTCGTAGGTGGACCTACGGTATGTAGGTGGAAAATTTGCAACCAGTTAAGGTGAAATGCAGTTGGGTCAACTTGAAATAATTATAACTC